TGTGTCTCCATATGTAATAAATAGATTTAAAATATTCACAACCTAAAAAAAATTAGATTCATTTTTTTAATTTGCAATTTATAATAAAATTAAATAAAATATTAATTTACCTGAATAGCTAATGGAAAAATATTCATTTTTTTAATAAGATGACTTTCATGTGTCGTTAAAAATTTAAGTAAATTAATCAAAGCAGTCCAAAGATCTCTCCATTGATATCCAAGTCTAATTCTACATCTTTTTTGATAACAAAGCAACCTCTGTAAAACTCCAATACATTGATGATAAAGTTCCAATGGAAATTTTTTCATCATATGTGATGTAACAAATTCAACAAGTAAATCTGTAATAATTTAATAATTATTTAAACAACTCAAATTTAACAGAATATAATATAACGATTATACCAAGTAAAGTAGCTGCTAATGGTTGAGCTGGTGCAGTTTTATCTTGTATCTTTCTATGATGCATTGGTACTCGATGAAGTTGTACTCTAAATGCTAAGTTTGCATCATGCATCAAACTATTTGCATATTGATCCTCTGCAATACAACTTAATATGAGGAAGCACAACTTAACATTATTCATTATTGCCTCTGTTCTGATTACTTGCATCACTATTGAACTGAAATAATTAAAATTCTTTAAAATAAAAAGTACTATAAATACTAAAGAATATATAAATACTATAAATACTAAAAAAGATGTGTATTTTTATAACATAGAATATTTTGTTTCTCACCAATATTGTAAAAACGTAGCCAATAAATTAAATGGCTGAGCCATTATATCAGGTAATTGTGCTCCAGGAGCTACTGCATTTGGTCCTAATGTATTATTTGGAGAAGGTGGAGCACTCGTATCACTTTGTGTGTATGCCAAAGTAGTTACAAAATTACGATTTAAATGCGTTGCTTCATAAAGTGCTAATAATAATGCATTATTTGCACGAACTTGTTGCGTTTTTGCTTCTTCTTCTCCAACAAACATGCTTCCAACTATACTAGTTAAGGAAGATAACCAAGATGCTTGTATTTCTGTACATAAAATTATATAACAATTTTTATTATTATATATATAATAACTTAAACAACTTAAGAATATAAAAATTATATACCTGCTCTTTGTTGAGCAAATTGCCTACAAAATTCCATCAATGAACTTGATATAACTTGCCCATATCCATTAAGAGCTAATTCATCATCTAAAATTGATAACTTAACAATATAAGGATTTGCTCTTTCGTGCTTTCTATAATTGACTAGAAGTGTTAAAAGCAACACTGCATCATGCCCGTGACGATTTCTAGCTGTTGTATCTCTTAGCAACTATATAAAGAAAATATATCAAAAATATCAATACTTAATTAGAATAATACTTTTAACAATTATAATACTTGTATTAAAATAACACCTACTTGAACCAGAGATTCAAAAACACTATTAAGCATAACATATTCCAATAAAGTGTTTTGACTAACATTGTCCATGCCAGTAACAATAATTAACAATAATTTTAAGCATAAAGCTTTTAAACTATCAGGATATTCACCTAGAATCATGAAAAATTTTAATAATTGGTTTTTTTGAAAGATTAAATATCAAATGTATATTTGAATCTTTGATTTCTAATAAGCTAATATTAAATGATTAAATATTAAGAAATATATCAAATATTAATTATACCTGTTAAAAAATTATTACAATGTTGCATTAATGTTGTCATTCTCTGCTCTGCAGAATCAAATCCTACTAAGATGTCTATTAAATTAAATCCGCAATCACCTTGACTAGCTTTTTTATACATAGATTGAATGACAGCTGCTAAAGTTTGTAAAGCATATACAACTCTGAAAGGATGTTCATCAACTAATGTGTCTACACAATGGCAAACTAAAGCATTTAAGTTTTCTCTACTTGCATTTAATTGTTCTGTAGTCATATGTAAAATTTCATTTTCAATATGTGGAACCTAAAAATATAAAAAAAATTGTAAAATATAATGTAAAACAAATATAAAATATAAAATATAAATATAAAAAATATAAAATATAATTGTAAAACAATTAAATACTAAATGTGAATTTAATCACAAGGTATATAATATAAGAATTCATTTGTTTTCTCTTTGACAGGAAAAAATCATAAAAAAAATTTGTTATCAATAAGAAGTACTAAATTTTTTCATTTTATTTGGTTAATTAAAAAATTTTTTTAAATTGAAAAAATGATGTTGCAATTTTATGATTCTAATATTTAAAAATTTGTATTTGTTTATATAAATGTACTTTAGTACATCAATAATGATTGGTAAATTTGTTACAAAGTTAATACAAGTAAGTGTACAAACATCTTATAAAAATATATTTATAATTTACAAAGTTATTTCTATTATTATTTATATGTAATATAATTTTATAGACAATACCAACATGGGAAGTGACAAAATATTATGGAAGAGTGTGCATATATCAATTAAAATGTCTAAAATATAAAATTCAAACAAGCGAAGCATGGTTTAATTTTAAGTGCAAATTTATGCCTGGTAGTTTGAATAATGAATTAGAATGTGAAGAACCTATTAAAACTAAAGGTATTAAATAATTGTATTAGAAACATATATTTGTTTTATATAAAATGATTATAATTTATATATAATAACCATAAATAAATTTTTAGCTAAAAATGGATCACAACAACAAAAAACACAAAATGAATCATCTGAAACAAAATCACAAAATAAATGCAAGAATCATGAAAGTACAACTTCACTTAATGATTTAAAAAATACTTATGTTATTAATGAATTAATGCCACATACAAAGAAACAAGAAAAAGATGATAAAAAGATAATAAAAGATAATAAAAAATATCAAGAAAATGAAAAATATATACATGAAGAATATGCAACAAAGAAAGAGAGAAAAGTATAATATAATTTTAATCTTTATTACTAATGACATTTCTTTTCAATGAAAAATTTTTATTATAGATGAAACGTGTTCAATAATATATGTAACAAATTAGAAGAATTTTTAATTTGGAATCTTTATTATATTGTCTGGAAGTTTTAGAAATTTTTACTTTATTTGTATTTATATGATATTAAATAAAGTCTAATGTATTTAGAAGTAAATAAAAAAAATACTGACCATAGGTTTAATTAAGAATAATTCATTCCAAAAATTTGGATGAGCTAATGTTAAATCTTCTCCTTTAAAAAAGCTTTCATAAATTGGTACAAGCTTTCCTTTATGTTGACGTTTGGAACCTGAACCACTTCGTTTTCTCATAGTCATTGCCATAATTAATTATTCAATTTTTATCATTTCTTTTACCTAAAAATGTACTGATTTAAATAACAATTATTATATTATAATTTTTAATTATTTATATAAATATAAATAATGTTTACATAAATATATTACATATTATTTTTATTTTAAATTCGTATAATTATTAATTTTTTTCGATATAACCTCTATATTAAATTTTCAATGATTTCAAATGAATAAATAATATTTTGATATATATAATATTTTTATGGCAAAAACATTTCTATAATCTCATGTTTATAAATTATAAAGATATGTAATAAATTTTAAACAGTGGACACATTAGATATTTACTTACTAATAAAGCAGATAACTTGAGATGTCACATAAATAAGTGATTTTTTTATATTTAAAAATCGAATTTGAAAGTTTTTTTGAATACTATTATTCTTGATTATCTAATTTTATAAAGATTTCATTGAAAAGTATCTAAGTGCTGAAAAAGAAATAATGATACAAAGAATTACGAAAATATCCGTATACAAGAATGACAGGGAGCCATCATTCTCAATAGTGATAAGCAGTGTTACCAAATGATTTCCTTACAGTAGAAAAAAGATAACATCACAGAACTATATATACATCAATGCGAACACGAATTATGAGAATTATTATTACATATTATAAATTACTAATCCATATTATCATGTTGCGGCATCACATGCGATATTATCAATTTAAAATAGCACAATAAAAATGGGATAGATGAGCAAATAAAGACAAACAGAATAAATAATGGGAGAAAATTAAATATAGAATAAAAATTCAGAAATCAGCGCCAAAAACAAAATCTTTTCAAAAGGATATGAAAGATGGCGTTGATTGTCAATTTTTGCTCCTATCTTTAAAATGATGTGTTTAATTTAAAAGATGGCATTGATAGTAAATTCTTATTCTATTTTTATCCTTCTGTTATTTGCTATTCTTGCATCTTATTCTAGAGATAATACCGATTTCCGAATTTTTATTCTATTTTTTTTCTCATTATTTGTTTTACTTGTTTTTAATGTGTGATTATGACTACGAATATTAATTGAACACACTTTCATTATTTTTTTTCAAAACTATATAATAAAACTATAATATAATAATATATCTTAATTTTTAATATAGATAAAAAAATATAGATATACATATAGATATAAAAAAAATAGATATACATTTTCTTTAAAAAATATCTTTAAGATAATAATTTCGCAAAATATAATATATTCCAATATATATTAAATATATATGTTGAAAAACAATACCTGTTTTCACACTTATATAAATTTAATTATGTAAAATATAAATAAAAAATATACTTCTACAAAATATACATAATATACATAACATACATCTACAAAATATTTTGTAATTGAATATTTATTCTATTATCTATTATCTTGTTTTATTTGTAATTTTATATTCATATTTATTTATATTTCAATTTCATTATTAATATTATATTCTTGTTTTAAGCTGAATTGATAACATTGAGCATAGTACTTAAAGAAGTACTTATCGCGATATTTACATTCTAAAAACTTTTTAAAAAAAGACTAAAACAAAAATAATATGCTCACATAAATCATTAATATATGATTTTTTATTTGGTGTAAATATAATTATTATATCTATTTTATTTAATAATAATTTATAAGGAAAAATTTTCTCATTATTCGTATTCTATTGTTTTGATTATCAAATACAAAACTTTTATACTATGATTTTATACTCGAAGATTATAAATCAACGAAAAAATAGGTTTCTATTAGTTTAAATTTCGTTATTATATTATTACGATGTAAATATAAAATTTATTTCTAATAAGATATTAATTATTTTAGATATTTGTCATTAATGTCAAATCAATATCATATTAGAACATTTAAAAATTATCATAGAGAACTGTATATAAAACAAAACACATTCAAAAATAATTCTTATGTAAAATATACAGCATATATTACTGTTGCTACATCCATATTAGGATTATATTATTATATATCTTATAAAAATATTTATGCTTTAAATAAAAAATTTATTCCATGTGGAGAGTTCAGAGTAGACTTAAAAACGTATAATTTAGAAGAAATAAGCAAACATGATAATAAAGAAAATCGCATATGGGTAACATTTAAGCAAGGAGTATATGATATAACAGATTTTATTGAAAAACATCCAGGTGGTTCTTCAAAAATATTAATGGCAGCTGGAAGTTCAATTGAACCATTTTGGGCAATTTTTGCTAATCATAACACACAAGAAATATATGAGCTTCTTGAATCAATGAGAATTGGAAACATTTCTAAAGAAGATGCAATATTCAATACAATTAATGATAATGATCCATATTCAAAAGAACCCATAAGGCATAAAGTTTTGAAGATAAATGGTGAAAAACCTTTTTGTGCTGAACCACCACCATCTTTATTGATTGAAAGTTTTATTACACCAATGTAAATTTGAAATTTTTTTTTAAACTTTTATTTTTTAAATTTGATATTGATTAATTAAAAATTTTGATTGATTTGATATTGATTGATTAATAAGATATTGATTAATTTTAGGGAATTGTTCTATGTAAGAAATCATCTTCCTGTTCCTGAAATAGATTTGAAAACTTATACTTTAGAACTAGTTATAGAAGAAGTAACAAAAAAGATTTTGAAATTTGAAGACATAAAAAAATATCCTAAATATACAATAACAAGTACTATAATGTGTGCAGGAAATAGAAGATCAGAAATGATAAAAGTAAATTAACATATTTTTTTCTGTTCTATAACATATTATTCCATAAAAATATAAAATTATTCCTTTTTATTATTAATTATCTCATTTTTTTATCTATTCTAGGAAAAGCAATTAAAAGGACTTAATTGGGGTATAGGTGCTGTTGGTAATGCTACATGGACTGGTACAAGATTATGTGATATATTAAAAGATTTAAAAATTAAAGAAGATGATTACAATCATATACAGGTATTAATTAAAAAATAATAAACAGCAAAAAATAATTTTTTTTTTAAATGTTAAAAATAGATATATAATAATTTCATGGAACAAGTTTGAAGGATATGACTTAGATCCTTCTGGTACACCATATGGTGCAAGTATACCTATTAGCAAAGCAATGGATTCCAGAGCAGATATAATTTTAGCTTATGAAATGAATGAACAACCTATACCAAGAGATCATGGATTTCCCATTAGAGTAATTGTCCCAGGTGTTGTGGGAGCCAGGAATGTAAAATGGCTTGGTATTTGGTATCAAATATTATAATTAAAGTGTGCAATAATTAATTATTTGATTAAATTTTGTTTTAATTTCTATAGCTAAAATAATAGTTTCAAAAAAAGAAAGTCAGTCACAATGGCAACAAAATGACTATAAAGTTTTTTCTCCCAGTACTGATTGGGATAATGTAGATTTTTCTAAAGCACCTGCTATACAAGAAATGCCTGTAATTTCTGCAATTTGCAAACCAGAACAATCTGAAATAATTAAAGTAATAAATGGAAAAATAAATGTGAAAGGTAAAATAATTTTTAAGATTTCATTTTTCTATGATAGTAAAATCTTTATAATAAGATAATAATCAATCAAACTATTTTTATAGGATATGCATGGTCAGGAGGAGGTCGAAAAATTATTCGAGTTGATGTAACAAATGATCAAGGTGAAACTTGGCATACGGCTAATTTAGATGCTGAGGATAATAATGCTAAAGTAGGTCGATATTGGAGCTGGACATTGTGGAGTATAGATCTTCCTGTCAAAAAAGAATTAAAAGAAATGGAGATATGGACAAAAGCTGTAGATGCATCATACAATGTCCAACCAGAAAATATCAAAAATATTTGGAATTTACGAGGTTTTCTTTGTAATGCATATCACAAAATTAAAGTTAAATTAGAACATTAATTCAATATTCATTAATTTCAATATTCTTTTACATAGTAAAAAATAAATATTATTTAAATAATTTTTTTTGCTAAAAAACATTTTTTTATAACACTATACTACATATATATTATTTTAAATTTTGATATCTTCATTATTAAAATAATTAGATATATCATTTAAAGGTATTTTACAATTTGTTGAATTATTTATATTGTGAATTTCAATTAAAGGTGAAAAGTCCATTATGGATTTACCAATTATAATAACATATGGAAATCCAGTTATGCGAGCATGCATAAAACGTTTTCCAATAGTTAAATTTGTTCTATCATCAAGTACAGTATCAATATTTAATTGATTTAAAATTTCCATTACTGTTTTTACATATTGATTACTTTTATTTTCTTCTTTGCTTCCTGCCTATAAATTATAATGATTTTTAACATCTATAAAAAATATTGTATAATATATATTACCTTTGGTGGTATAAGGCATACAGTATATGGTGCTAAATTTTTTGGCCATCTTAATTCTTCTTTGGTAGATAATAATTCAGTCATAATTGTAAAAATGCGACTTAAACCAAGTCCAAAACAACCCATTACTAAGGGTACTGATTTATCATTTATTTTTATTTTTACTTCTAAAGGTATTGTGTATTTTGTATTTAATAAAAATGTATGACCCACCTTGAATGAAAATTATCATTTATTATATTAAAAATTATAACTAATAATTATTTCTTGATTTTTATTTATAATAACAAAAACTAAAATTAATTGAAATATTAATTTTTTCTATTACCTCTGCAGTAGTTTTTTCATTAAATGCATTCTCACATTTAGGACAATATAATTCCTTGCATATTGTTTTATTAATACTATACTGACAAGATGGACATATACAAATAATATCTTCACCAATATCACTTATATAATGATATTCATGAGATATTGAACCTCCAATTAATCCTGGATCACCAATAGCTATAAATAATATCAATGTAAATAAATAATATCAATAAATAAGCAATATTGAACTAATATTATTCATTTTATTACCTTTTATGTATGTTATTCCTATCTTCTTAAATATGTTTTCATAAGCATTGCACACCAAAGCATATGTTTCTTGTGCGTTATTTAAATTTATATCAAATGTATATAAATCTTTCATCATAAATTCTCTACTTCTTAAAAATCCAAGTCTTGGTTTTATTTCATCTCTCCATTTATTTGAAATTTGATATAATTTTAATGGTAACATTTTTGGTGATAATATTCCTATAGTTGATAGTACAGAACAAATTGATTCTTCATGCGTCTACAAAGATATTTTTTTAGTATTCTTTTTATTAAGTAACTTATAAATCTAATTTTTTTTAGTTTTTTTTTTTTTAATAACTTTTAAAAACTTACTGGACTTAATATATATTGTCTATGAGCTCGATCTTGTATTTTAAATAATTCAGTTACATTATTAAATCTATCTGTTTTCTTCCATAAATGTGTAGGTATTAAAGCTGGTAGTAATAATTTTTGAGCTCCAATTTTTTGCATTTCATTATCAACAAGTGCTGTTAGTTTATTAAAGATACGTAAACCTAAAGGTAAAATTGCATACATACCAGTTGTAACTTGTTTAATCAAACCATATTTAAGTAAATTCTACAATTAAATGTATACAATTAAACAATTAAATGATAATAAAAATAAAAAAAATTATATTAGCATACTTCGTAACTTTTTGAACGTATTTCTGTTTGTTTAGCAGTAGCAATCGTGGCAGTAACCGGTTGAAATAATTGCGATAATTTATTTATTTTAGAAATCGGCATATTTGACATGTTGAAATAATTATATTTGGAATATATAAACACGTATACAATTCTAAATCACGTATAAATATTTTGTATTATGCAAAATAAAATATTGGTCAATGCTTTTAGGTCCAATGATACACAGTGGATTACTAGACTAATCATGTAGTATGGTTAGAAACAGTACAAAGTATGACAGATAGATTCTTATGGATTTTAGGTTATTTATTTTGATTTGAATTCCTTTTCACATATATCATTTAACATTGTAATTGCAAATTTATTTCGGATTGTTAAAGTTTAATAATATTTATAATTTTTATCGGAAAATGTAACACTGTGAAATAGGGTCAGTTGATCCAAAAGAAATGGAATTTGCAATTGCTGAAATGGACGAAAAAAAATTGGAATCTTTTAAAGAAAATATTTTTCCGGACAATTTCGATCAAACTGATTCCAATATAAAATCAAACGTTCAATTTGCAGAAGGTACGAGTTTCGATTAAAAAATCTATTATAAATTATTTTTGAATTATTTAATAAATATATTTTAAACAGCTGTTTAACGAATTAAATAGCATCTAATGGCTAGATATATGATAAAATTTTTAATTTTGTTTTTTTTACTTAATATTTTTAGTCATTAATAAATCTTTGATTCAAGAAGAAATAAAGATACATAAAAAAACAATACAATCTCAGGAGAAGTTTGAACAAAATAGTATTTCTCAAATTAAAGAAAATTCAATATCAATAAAGAATAGTAATGAAAAAAAATATCATCAATTAATGGAGGAAAACAATATTGATACAACTATAAGAAGTACTATTTCTTTAAATAATTTCTCACATGAATATTTAAAAAATCAAGAATCTATTGATATAATTCTTCCTCAAAAAAAATGTCTCCAAAAATCATCTTCTTGTAATGACATTAGATCATCTTCATCAACATTATTTGATGCGTTATTATGCACATCTTCAGATATAATTTCTAATTATAATGTGAAAACAATAAGACCAAATAAATGTAAAAAATTAAATATTATGTGCAATGATGAAGAAGAAACAATTTTTAGTACTAAATTACATATGGATTCTCATGAAACAAAATATTTAAAAGAAACTGATAATATACATGAAAAATGTGAAATTAAAAATAATATTAAAGCAATAGATGACCTAGTATGTCATTCTAATGTTGATGAAAAATTAATAACAAATAATGACCAAACTCAAACATTAACTAACTTAATGAATTGTGAAAAAGATTTTAATAAAGAACAAAAACTAAATGAAACTATTAAGAATAGTAAATTACAAAATAATATAATATCTAGACCAACTTTGGTTGATGATAATAGATTGGTGAAAATTTCACTGCCAACAAATCCAATTAACATAATGCAATCAAATGCTCAGTTTCTAAACAAAAGCCGTAACTTTTTAAACTTCATTACAGAAAAGTCAACAAATATCATGGAAAAAGCATTATTACCACAGCATTTAACATTAAAATATAATTCAGTAATGAAATCTGTAGATAATATTTATAGTGAAAAGAAATATATAGAAGAATCTTCTAATATGGAATCTTCTTTAACAGAACCAGTATTTAACAATATATCAGATTCATTTGTAAAAGAAAAAAATATTTCTTATGCAGAAAAATATGAAATAGATATACAAAGTGCAGATAATGAATGTGTAAAAAATGAAAATAATGAAAATAAAATTGTAATAACAAATTCAAATGAAATTATATGTGAAAATATTGAAAAAAATAATAAATATTTATCAACAAATGACCATAATAATGATTTTTCAAAGGATTTGGAGTTAAAAAAATTAGAGCAATCTAAATCTTATATTATTAATAATGATATTGATCAAACAAATGATAATGTATCATTCAGTACAGAAACAAATGGAAATTATAATATTAATTCTATAGTATTAAATTCTGAAGAGAATAATTTTCAGGAAAATATTATTATTAATAATTTGAATCAAAAAGAAAAAGAAATTGTCGATTTTGAAAAGTCAAAACAAAATTTATTGCAACATCCAGTTTATCTTACTTTATTAAAAGACTATGCAGATTTAAAATCTAAATATTTAAAGTTACAAGAAAAAACAGAAAATTTAGAAGAAAAAAAACGAATTTTGGAAAAAGAAAACAAAGGAGAAATCTTTTCTATGCAGATAGAAACATTAGAAAAGACAATAAATAGACTTACATTTGAATTACATACATCTTTAGAAGCACAAGAAATATATAAAAAAGATTATAATACTGCGAATAAAGAAAGGGAAAGTATGGTAATGAAATATGCTGTTAGTGAAAAACAACTTATTGATACGCAAAGGTAAATTAAATTTAAATAAAATAAACTTGGTTAATTTTTAATCAATATAATATTTTGTAATTATTTTATTATTGGTTAATATTGGTAATATTTTGTAATTATTTTATTATTCTTTCTATTTTATCATTTTTAGAGCAAAGGAATATGCAGAACGTAAAGTAAAAGAAATGACAACACAACAAGAAACACTTCAGAATAAATTGAGAGAAATGCAAGGAGAACGAACTAGAATATGTAATATTTTAAGCAATAAACATCGCGAAATGACCGATCTTCAGAAAGAAGTTGAAAGATTAAAGGAAGATGTAAAAATGAGAGATATAAAGTTACAATGGACTCAGAATAAACTAAAAACGGAAATGGATTTGCAAAAAGAAACGCAACAAAAATTAGATAAAGCCATGGTAATAATATTATATATTTTATTATTATTTTATTTATAATTTTGGCAAATAATTTTATATCAATTTATTTTTCTAGATCAGGATTAATGAAATGAAAGAAGAATGTGAACAAGTGCGTAAAGAAACGCAAGAAACAATGAGAAAATTTCAGCAATCAGAAGAAAACAAAGCAGTTACATTAGACCAACAATTAAAAGAGCAACAGGCTCGTTTAATTTTAGAAAGACATGTCACAGAAGATAAAGAGATGTTGAGAATTCAATTACAAAAAGAAGTAGATACATTAAAGCATAGACAACAAATTTTAATTGAAGAAAACAATACACTCACTTTAAAGATACAAGATGCTGAAAAAGATCGTTTAACTTACGAAAGTAATTTGAATAATTTAAAAATTATAGTAGATCAACGTCAGAAAGAAATTATGGAATTGCATAATAAAGTATCTGAATTAGAAATGTTGAAAACTCAACTTCAACAGTAAGTATCTCAATTGTAAAATCGTGATTTTTGTTT